TCTTCTGCAGGGCGGCCCAGTGTCCATGCAAAGGAAGGTGGACCTGCATTTGGGTGGTTGTAGAGATATCCACGGGGCCCTGCCAAACAGCGGGAAGTTCCCTTGTGGCCCTGCCTGCAATGGAACAATACTCTTCACACCTTCGTGTCCCCCACATCCATTGCACAGACCCCAACATTATATAAATTTATTTATGAGAGAGAAAAGGGTTGAGAAAGGAGAAAAAGGGAGAGACAGAGAAAGAGAGATCTCTCATCCATTGGTCCACTCTCCACCCAAATACAACCAAGGCTGGACCTTACCAATGCCAGGAGCCAGGAACTCAATCTATGTCTCCTGTGCAGTGGCAGGAATTCAAGTAATTGAAGCACCACGTGCGACCTCTCAAGGTGTGTATTAGCAGGAGGCTGGAACTGAAGTGGAGCTGAGTCTTGAACATAAGCATTCAGACATAGAATGAAGGTGTCCCAAACAGCATTCTAACTGCTATGCTAAAGGCTCATTTCAAAAAAACATCATTAGATTTACTTTGATGCCTACTAAATTAGGTATGCAATCTGGTTACTTATTCACTAGGAAATGTTTTCTCTTTTTTGGAGTTATCGGATTTAGTAATCTCAATGATGTTGCCATCAGAAGGACACAGTTCCCTAATGACTGAGTTGCTGTGGTTAATCTAAGCCATTGTTAATGGATAATTTGAAGGACTGAATTCTTTGCATTTTGAGATGTCTGTAATATGTGTGTGCATCTTTCAACTATTTGACACTGTTCTCTTAGAATTCATCATCTTATTTCAGATGAGCATGACAGAGCATGCTCTTTCTTCATTAAGGACCATTGATAAAGATTGTATCAATAGAGAGGATTTGCCACATTGGAAACCTTGTGCAGTAAAATGGGTTGTTGATGGCCTTCGCACTTTTACAACCTAAGAAAAGGATATTGGGAAAAAAAATTTTTTACTCCTACTCCCTCTGTTCTTTGTTAAATCAGTCACTCACAGGCTTTAGACAGTGAGTCCAATTTTGTTTTTAAATCATTTGAAAGACAAGAGATCTCATCCACTCATTCATTAACCAAATGCCCTCGATAGCTGAGGAGCTGGAGGTGGGGAAAACTGGAGGTTTGAAGTCAGGAGCTTCCCATGTGGGTGGCAGGAACCCAATGGCATGGACTGTCACTGCATTGAGTGGAAGCTGAGATCAGGAGCTGCAGCTGGGTGTGGAGCCCAACCACTCACATTAGGGACACTGGAGCTTTACTACTTCCACTAGGTCAAATGGGTACACCATGGTTCTCCTGGATTTCAGTGGAAGCCTGAATACAACTGCAGGGGAATTCAGTGTATGAGTTGGCTTTATGCTGAGGGGTTTTTCTTTTCCTGCAGCAAAACTGCAAACCTTCTCCAACCCAAACTTGTCCATAACACACAACAGCATTTCTATTCTGTTATATTCGAGCTGTTTAGTACCAAGTTGATAAGTACTTTGAATATGATCATGGAAAAGAGCCCTCAGAGGTGACTTAAGGTAGCCTTTCACTCAATATGATGAATCATATACCATGTTGGTCTTGAAGTTTCCCAGAGTGATGACCTAGTAACTACTACAGGGTTTTGTTACTAGACCTGTCAACATCTTAATAATCCATCTACAATTTATTAGTTCTTCCTTTACCAACCATTTTAAATAAAACACAACCCTGCAAGAATGGACAGGGATGCAGAGAAGCATGAAGCATTATTCTAGATAACTGAACACTATCAACACTGTTCCTTATTCAGTATTTTATTTCTAAAAAAAAAAAAAAAAAACACATTGTTATGCTTCTTCTGTAGTGATAATTCTTAGTAAAATAACCCAAAATACTTTTTTTTGTTTTTTTGCTTCAAGGGGTGGTCTCTGTTATAATATGGTCAGGAATGTCTCATTTCTCCCACTTCCACTCATACTTCATCTTATTTTTCCAGAAGAAAGTACACTTTCAGGGCCAGCGTTGTAGAGCAGTAGGTTACACTGCACCTGCAACACCAGCATCCCATATGGGCAGCAGTTCAAATTTTAGCTGCCCCACTTCTGATCCAGCTCTCTGGCAGTGTATGGGAAGACAGCAAAATATAGCCCAAGTACTTGGGCCCCTGCCAGACCTGAAAGGGGTTTCTAACTCCTGACTTCACACCTCCAAGATGTCTTTCTTTCTCTCTTACTCTGCCTTTCTTTCAAAAAAGAGATTAAATTCTTGTAAAAGAAGTGGCTACCAAACTTTAGAGTACATCAGTAATTTGGAGGGTTTGCTTAGGTACAAATTATGGGACTCCACTGCCAGAGCATCCCATATAATGGGTCTGGGCTGAGTCTGAAAATTTGCAATTCAAACAAGTTACCCTCAAGACATTGATGCTGCTGGTTTGAATATCCCATCCTGAGAGCTACTATATCACTGAAAGCATTGAAGAATGCAAGTTAGAAATATGACTGTACACGTTTTATTTGAGTCTATGTTGACCAGTGTTAAATAACCTACATCCTAAGCACTTGGGAAATCAGCAGCCTTTTGACAGCTTCTTCATTATCTAATTAGGAATGGAAAGAAACATCATGCAGATCAAGTTTAACTTTGTTTTAATCCCTTTAAAGTAGTACTCATCTGGAAATCTGTCTCCTTTTCTAGCAAGTAAATTTCCTTAATCCTCAATCTGGTTTCCTGTAAAACAAAGGAAGATAAAATCTACTCAGTGATGTTGGCTGTTCTTTGGCTTTATAGTTTTTTGCAAGGAAACAAGAGTAAATTAATATTCACTGGATGGAGAAAGGTTCAAGACCAGAAAATATAAACTCCAGGGCAAAGAGGCTTAACTGAAGGCATCAATGGGTAGCAAATTTGAATAGATAGATGTCCACGTCCTGTGTGCTATGTGTTGGCCTGCTCTGAGCTCATTTACCAGGAACCTAGCCTCTAGAGGCTCCCAAGACATGATAGAAATCAGTGTGTGTTAAGTGGGAAGCTACCTTAGAATGTTTCTCAATAATCTGCAGTTGGTAAGCTTCTGTTAGGGTGGCTATTATTCACCCTCTGTATTAACCATCACAAGAAAGTCAAAGAGATGAGGCGAACACCTTTTGAAAGAACACTAAAAGATTTGTTGGTTCCTAATGTAGATAGCATGGGCCAGGGGGCACTGAGTAAAGGATGAGCTGATGCTAAGAAACTGGCAGCAAATAAATAGATAAATAAAGAAAAAGAAAAAGGGGCCCAGAGGCGTGGCCTAGTGGCTAAAATCCTCACATTGAACACGCCTCGGAATCCCATATGGGTGCCGGTTCTAATCCCGGCAACTCCACTTCCTATCCAGCTCCCTGCTTGTGTGTGGCCTGGGAAAGCAGTCGAGGACAGCCCAAGGCTTTGGGACCCTGCACCCGTGTGGGATACTCGGAAGAAGTTCCTGGATCCTGGCTTCGGATCGGCATAGCATTGGCCGTTGTGCTCACTTAGGGAGTGAATCATCGGACAGAAGATTTTCCTCTCTGTCTCTCCTCCTCTCTGTATATCCGCCTTTCCAATAAAAATAAAAAAATAAATCTTAAAAAAAAAAGTGATAATAATGGCCACTATTTACTACCAGTGTCAATGAGTGAGTTAACAATGATTAAGGTTCATCATATTAGAGTGGTGTAGAAGGTTCCCAGCTGTTTTTTTTCCAGGTTTTTGCCTCTGCATGATAAAATAATTCAAAGCAGAGAAGTGCAAGGGTGGGAAAAGGACTTGTTTAAAGAGGTAGAAAGAGCCCAGGTTCAGATGTGATTGCAGGGAGTGCACTGGGGAGAGAAATCTCTGCCCATACGGAGACATATATGCCTTGCCCTACATGGGTGGTCGCTTTCACTGGACAGAGGGTAGTGCCCTAATTAAATACACAAATAGGTGGCATTTGGGTAGGGTTCAGTGCCCAGCATATCCTCGGAGAAGGTTTACATGGTGTTTCCATGTGGAATTCAGAATACATGTGTTCATCCTGGTTTCTTTTCACCAAGGAGAAAACTGAAGTGTATCATGGGAGAAAGTAGCTATGATGAATTTGCATGGAAGGGAGTGTATTAGGGTGCAGGTAAAGATTGTAGAAACCTGCCACCTCCATTTCAGAATGATGTCTTCAAGTCTGTCAACAGCCCTGAGACACAGACATGGTTGTCATTTTAGTGGGTAAGATTTACTACTTGATAAGTCAGTTGCAGTTTGAGAAGAAACTGTAGGATATATTTCATTTTATTTCATAAATATCTTAAAGAGCCATTTATGGCTATTAAATTAGGAAAACATATATAAACACTAATTAACTAATGGTGATGCATTAGTAATGGCAACACACACACACATACATATGTACACACATAATTTAATTTGGGGGGGGTGCACTGTAGGAGCAGCCCATGCTGATGCTTGGGATGTCCACACACCAACCACATCAGACTGCTCATTCAAGCCCTGGCTACCTGGCTTCTAAAACAGTTTGGTTATCAATAATGTATTCTGGGAAGCAATAGAGGAAGGCCCAAGTATTTGGTCATACCCAGGCAGGGGACCCAGATGGAGTTCCTGACTCCTGACCCGAGCCTGGCCCAGATGTGGCTGTTGAGGCAAATTGGGAAGTGAACTGGCAGGTGAAAAACCTCTTTCTTTCATTCTGTATTTGAAGTAGATGAAAAATTTTTCAAAAACAAAAATTCAGATATTCTAAGTAGTAGACAGATAACTAATATTTAAATTACAAACTCATAAATGGTAATATTATTATATAGTCAATTGGATAAGAAATATATATGAATAAATGAAATTTTATTAACGTTGCTTTGTTCTATAATTTTTCAGCAAAATACTGAGGTGTGGCCAATGGATTCATACTGTTAAAATTCACTTTGCTGAATGATTATTTTAAAAAATTCTGACACTAGTAATTATTTTAAGATCCTTCTTGAACTCATGATCTTGTTTCTTTCCAGTTCTGTCCACTCTGCCGTTTAATACCTAACGAGAATGCAGACAGCTTTAATGGCAGTTTAATAAGACATTTGCAAGTTAGTCACACTTTGTTTTATGATGATTTCATAGTAAGTACATTTTTTTTACTTTTACGTTATACTTTTATATTATATTAAGCTTACTGTTTTAAGCCAAGTGAGTAAAATTATAAAGGGAAAAAGTGTGTATAGCTCAAGGTGTTAAGTATTAAATAAGAAGTAATTAACCCATAGTACTTTATAAATTTGCTTTAATATTATTTTTTGTCTTGAATAAAATTATTTTCTGTAATCAGCCAGTGTGGAGTCAGAGTTAGCCTTTAAATTAGTAAATTTTTCTGCTAGTTCTTCTTTATGTATGGTTACAATATTTATGGAATTGAAAACTATAGCTGAGAAATCGTGTCAAGATTGAATTGGCTTCATTTGTTCTATATCCAGTCACTTGCATGGTTAATAACAGCAACATTATCAGTCTAATAAGACATGTGGGACTTCTCATTTTTAAAATTGATGTTGCACAATGTGTGTTTGCTGGAATTTAGAAAAAGAAAATTTATTATGACAAAAAAATTAAACAGTCAAAAGTAATCAGAATAATTATATATAATAAATATGTACATAAGTAGTCAATATGTAGTCATAGTTACTGATGACAGCCTCAATAAGTAATTCATGTACAATCTCATTACATGAAAAGTTAATGGAAAAACAGAAATCAAAGGTAAGATTGTTTTGGTGCAAAACACTTTTGAAATGTGTGTAAGGGCCCAGCGTAATAGCATAATGGTTAAAGTCCTTGCCTTGCACACCTGGGATTCCATATGGGCGCCGGTTCTAATCCCGGCAGCCCTGCTTTCCATCCAGCTTCCTGCTTGTGTATGGCCTGGGAAAGCAGTCAAGGACAGCCCAAAGCTTTGCGACCCTGCACCCAAGTGGGGGACCCGGAGGAGGTTCCTGGCTCCTGGCTTCAGACTGGTTCAGTTCCAGCCGTTATAACTGCTTGGGGAGTGAATCATCGGATGGAAGATCTTCCTCTGTCTCTTCTGCTCTCTGTATATCTGACTTTACAATAAATAAATAAATAAATCTTAAAAAAAAGCAATGTGTATAAGTAAGATATATAAAATAATTGTATTCATTTCCATAAACTTTTTGAAAACCTACGTATTTTAAAAAATCTATTTATTTATTTTTATCAGAAAGGCAGATTTATAGAGAGGAGAAACAAAGAGAAAGATCTTCTATTCCCCAAATGACCATAACACCGGAGCTGAACTGAGCCAATCCCAAGCCAGGAGCAGGAGCTTCTTCTGGATTTCCCACATGAATGCTGGGTCCCAGAGCTTGGGGCCATCTTTTGCTGATTTCCCAGGGCATGAACCAGGGAGCTGGATGGGAAGTGGAACAGCCAGGACACAAACTGGTGCCCGTATGGGATGCTGGCACTTCAAGGAGTAGGATTAGCCATTACACCAGCCCCAACCCAACATATTTTTTTTAAGTTTTTGCATGAAAATAAAGTTATCCTTTAAGTTTCTATAAACTTTTTGAAGTTCCATCATGGTAAAAGTATTTTAACATGGAAATGAGCTACATATAGTGTAAATAGTTTTAATACTTATGAATATATTTTCAATTTTCAGAAGTGAGTTAGGAAGTTTTCATGACCTTTGCTCTATAATGCACTGTCCTCTGAGTCACTTTCAGCTAAAATAGGGAGAAAGCCATTTTTAGACATGTTCTGCATTAATATATTTTATTGTTACTTATATCTAAATATGTTATCTCTAAGGGGCTTAATTTAACCTTTGCATATAATTTTTACATGATTTTTACTGTTTCCTTTTGATGTAATTTTAATGACTGTTAAAGATAATCATTTGAAATTTTCTGCATTCTATATGATTATACAGTTTGCACACAAGGAGCTTGGGTTCTAACACAGCTGTGCAAACTTGGGAAAAGTGTCTAACTTCTTTTCCTTCTGTTTTTTATTTTGTTAGTGTCTAACTTCTGAACCTTCGTTTATTCATTTGTTAAATAAGAAGAGTAAACGAATTACTTCTGAAAGCTTTTGTAAGGACTAAACAAGACACTGTATACAGAGTGATTTCTTGGTATATCTGGGCATAGATGTTAGGCAAGCTGAAGATGGAAAGGGAGCTAATGGGATTACTAGGACCACTTGAATACAACATGGAAACCCACAGAAGCTTCATTTCCTCTACTCCATCTTTCCAAAATGTGTTTCTGGGCCCCTAAGGTACACAAGGCCTCACCAGAGCACGGTTCTGGTCCATGCATGCTTATTCCTAACAGAAGGTTCCTTTGCATTTTAGCTTCCTAAGATGTTCTAAAAGCCAAGTTGAATTTATGCCTGTTGTATGTATGTTTGGTCTGTTGTGCGTAAGATCTTTCTGACACACTGCAATTCAGGGTTGGTTAAGATGATGCTGCTTTTCTCAGTATTTTTTCTAACTTCTCAAAACTGCATTCTTCAATGAGGAAGAACTTGGAATAGTTTTCCTTTTTAAGTTTTTGTTTCATAAGCATACTGTCTCATTTTGTTACTTATAGCAGCTTCTAAAATGAATACTGTATTTTTATTTTCATTTAGTAAATATTTGAAGGTAAAAGATTAACCAAATTGCCAAAGAAAAGCCAGTATTGAGTCTAAGCTCCTGCACTCTCCTATGTTTTCTGGCTTTCCTTTGGGTTTTATTTATTTTTATAGTTTAGAATAACCTTCTGATTACAGATTCTACTTTCTCATTGTTGTTCTCATTGTTTCCTGTGGAAGAGGAAACGATTGCAGTGGACAGGGCTCCCCACAGCTTTTGCTTTACTTATACAAAGTACTGAAATAAAGTTTTGAATTCCACTTTAACACACAGGGGTACAAGGAGCAAGAGTTGTTTTCAACAGATTTTTTTGTTTTTGCAAGTAAATAATTCAGTGAGTATTTTGTATATAAATACAGATGGCCTTGAGGAAGATGGCTGATTTTAATCTGTTACTCATTTTTTAAGAGACATAGTCTTCCTGTTAGGATTTGTAATGTTGACTAGAAACTACTAATTTCATTAAAGACTTTAAATTCAAAATGAACAATTTTTCATAAAATTAATTTAATGATAGTAAAGTGAAATACAAAATACACTGGCCCCAAAGCCAGAGCCCTTGGTTTTACATCAGCTGCGTAGAACCCTGCAGAAGTCATTGAACTTAGAGCTGTACTTCCCTGCACATTGAGGGCACTGCATTAATTCTTATCCTTCCATTTCTGAAACACACTTGAGTAGGTATACTTCTGTTTTTCTTTATTATAGGATTTTAATATAATTGAAGAAGCTCTCATCCGAAGAGTCTTGGACCGGTCACTTCTTGAATATGTGAATCACTCAAGCACCACATAATTGTATTAAAGGTGAAGGGAAGTACACGATTGGGTTGCACTGCTAAGATGCTGCTTGAACACCTGGAGGGAAACTGTCAATGTTCAATGGGCAAAATGTACAACACAGATACCTGTTGGCCTGTGTTTATTGTTATTTTGCTTCTAAAATTGCTTTCACTTTGGTGATCTGTTTTGTATCCTAGAGTTTCTTAGATATATAATAACAAAAATTAGTCTCTGTCAGTATTTAATATATGGAAGAGACACAGGTCAGGTGTGTAATGGAGACCCTGTGATTATGTATAATGTCACACATTATATATTAATAATGACCATCATAGTTAGGCAAGAAAACTTTGTGTATTTTACGTAGAGAAGATGAGGAGTAAAATAGTGTGGACATTCAAGAAAATATAAAATCTGTTTCTAATCTTTAGTAGAATAACATGAATGATCTTGTATGGGGTAGGAAAGGAAAAATTTGGAAGTCAACAAAAACTCTTTAACCAAACTACATTATACTGTAAAAAGTAAATTTTGTGTTACAAATATATATTTAATTCTTTACTTTTTATAACTATGCACATGTAAGAAGTAGTTTTTTCTGAATATTTGTAGCTTACTATATAGAAGTATTTCTACAATACAGATAATTAAGAATCATCAACTGTATTTACAGTAGAAGAAATCACATAAATAATTGTGGAAAACCCTAAGGGCTTTGATGTATATCTTATTTTAATCTTTCTAAAAGTAATAAAACAAGTACTGAAACTTAGACACAAAAGTTGAACTTAATCCATAATTATAAGGAAACTTCTTAAATACTATTTTAGAACTCTGCCAGTTAGCTATGTGTCCTGTCACAATTATTAGTCTATGAAAGTAACTACTATATTGGTTTCAATGGTAATTACTTCCTTGCATTTTTAAAATTATTGTATCACCCAAGTCCCTATTTATATTTTAATTGTATCCATTTAAGATTATTTTATTAAATGAATATTTTATATTTCTTGTGAATTTGCAGATTCCCCTTCATCCTTCGTCCGTCCTTTACCCGTGAAGAGCCTGATCTTAGGCACATTCTCCTAGTCTGTGGGCTGCTGACTGTACGCTCATGGTACCAGTCAGCGTATCCCTCTGTGTCCTCTGCACACTGGCATTTGCAGCCAGAGGACTGAGCAGGCTCCGATTCAGCCTTTTTGGCAAGACGATAGGTCATGGTGTGTTCTTTCATCAGAAGGATAATACTATGTAGTTCTCTGTTTTTGACATAAGCTGAAATTGATACACAATGCCTAAATTCATAACTCATTTTGGTTTGGAGACTATCTCACATCATTTATTTTTCATTTATGAATGGAAACATTTCTATCAAGAGAAGCTTCCCCACACCTGCTATTTTATTAACCAGTGGCAGATTTTAGGTAGGAAAGGGAAAAATGAACATTTGGCTTCTTTCCTTTACCAATTTTCAGATAATAAACTTGCTTCCTATCACTTGTTCAGGTATTATGAAATCTTGGATTCAAACACATTTGATGGCTTCATTCCATTGTATCACTGAAGCTCAAACTGTCTCATTTTGACAATGAATGAGAGCCCCTTAATAAGTTTGCTGTAAATTCTTTTGACAGTAGGCTAGCAGCTTTGAACAGATTCCTTGCTATCTTGTATGACAAGATGCTGTAGGTTCAACTTGCATATTTTTCTGCCCAGGTTCTGGAATGTAATGTTTTTCTTAAAAACTTGGTTTCTTTCAAGGAAAAACTGTATTTTAAAAATAACAGATTGATGTGCAAAGATGCACAAACATTTCAAGAGTTTCTTTTGATAATTCTAGATACAACTGAGTTCTACTGGATTTTAATGTATCCTTTCTATTACAATGGTGCCTCTGTTCTATATTTAAAATCTTGGGCTTCAAAGACACCCAGGACATGATAGAATATCCTACAACTACCTTTTCCATTACTTATCTTATGCATGCACATCGCCGGATAACCAGTGATAACCATGCCAATGGTTAACCATGCCAATATGATAGCCAAAATAGTAAAAAAAAATGTTTTTTCATTTTTTTCCTTTCTCTGTTTTTAGTTAGTTTACCTATATTGACATTTTCATAATATATTGATATAACATTCTATAGGTTCTCCATTTCATCCTTTCATTTAGTTTAGTTCTTTCAGCAACAACATTTTTAACATCTGACACAAGCTTTTATTTAATGTCTGTTTTTCATGTCTGACTCTTAATAATAAATATATGACATGAAGCCAGTGAATCTATGAGGACTAGTTATATCAGCTCCTGGGGAAAAAACTCAACCTGTCTGGAGTTTGTTTCTTATTGAAATCACTTATAGACTCCTTTGTTGCTTACACATAAGTTGAGTTAACATCAGAGCCAACATTGTGGTGCTGTGGCATAAGCCACTGCTTGCAACACCTACATCCTTTATCAGGGTGCTGGTTAGAGTCCAACTGCTATTTCCTACACAGTTTCCTGGTAATGAACCTGTGAAGGCAGCATATGATGATCTAAGTGCTTGGGTCCTGGCCACACATGTGGGTGACCCTGATGTAGCTCCTTCCTTCAGCCAGCCCAGCCCTGGCTGTTGCAGCCATTGGGAGAGTGAACCAGAAGATGGAAAGTCTCTCTCTCTATGTGTCATTCTGCATTTCAAATAAATAAATAAATATGTAGAACAAATATGTATATGTAGTAATTATCATGGTGCCCACATTTTTCTGTAGTAAGTTTTCCATAACTTTGTAAAAGCCCTGTTACTATTTTCCCATCCAATATAAGACAATCAGGGAAATGTAAAACCAACTGAAATCTGAACAGTTTCATATCCTCTCTTTTATTATTACTAGCTTTATTTATTTGAAAGGCAGAGTTACAGAAATCTTCTATGACTTAGATCACTCCCCAGAGGGCCACAATGGCCAGGCCTCAGCCATGAGCCGCTTCCAGCTCTCCCACATTGATGGCAAGGCACAAGCACTTGGCCATCCTCTGTCACTTTCCCAGGCTCACTAGCAGGGAGTGGAATAGGAAGTGGAGCAATAGGAACTCTAACTAGCACTCAAATTGGAAATATAGGAAGCAGCTTAACTGGCTGTACCGCAACACCAGCCCCCACACTCTTTCCCTTTAAGATAGGTATTGATTTCAAGCTTGTTTCTCATAGTTGGTAACAAGTAGGGACAGATTTTCAGTTTCATAATTTCTCTTCATCCAATTTGAATAAATCATAAAACTTGTTGGACAACATGAGCAAAAGAAGAGGAACGTTTTACAAATTATCATTGGACTGAAAATCTAGTCCCTGAAAAAGAAAAAAGACCATGTCTAAGTGTTAACACTGACTGTCCAGACAATGAATTTTTTTTAATTTACAGCAATATAAAAGGTATCTTTTGATCTGTATAACTTGAAAAAAAATTAAAACTTTAAAAACTGTGTTTTAAATAAAGCTTTAAAATCTACCACTATTAACCTCAGTACAGCAATTCTGAATCCTGTCCCTACATTTCTCTTTTGATAATTTTGCCACCTACAGGACAAATTAGGTGCTGGCCGCCTGAATTATTTTATGTTCTGATTTATTTTGAATTCTAAAATGGTGAACCACAAATATTGTTTCACTGTGCCTTTAGCTTTTTATAAAAAGGATTTTTTTTACTCATTGTTTAAAAAAAATGAAAGCCAATATCTGAAGCTGTTACTAATAATCCAGTTTCACCTTCTTAATGATGCCTCAGGATATACCTTTCAAGGTCTTATAAGGGGAGGATGAACTCACATGCCACTCTTTGACTGCGAATCCCTTCTCAGCACAAAACTTATGGGGATTTGCCTTCCATATGTTTATTCCACCATTTCTAAAATATGCACAGAAAAATTTGATCGTGAATTATGGTAAAGTTAGGGATAGGGGTCAGATCTTCTCAGAGCTCTAGCTCCAATAATGTTGCTTCATCACTTTCACAGGGTGCTATGTGTCTTTCATTTTGAAATGAGCTTACTCTAATTATGGAATGTTTTATCATAATTTATATCCTCAAACACTGAAGATATTTTCAGAAGTACTGACATTTGTTCTATTATTCAACCATAAAAAAAACTGTATAATGATCAGAATTTAAAATGTACAATATTTTTTCTTCTGTGAATATGTATTATTATGAGAAATAAAGAATGGCAGGACCATTGCTTTCATGAATGTACCTACTGTGTCTTTCTTGAACATTGATCTTGGGGCAGGCATTTGGCCTAGTGATTAACTTTAACCACTGCGCCACCGCGCCGGGCCCAGGCCTAGTGATTAAGATACCATTTGGGACATCTGTGTCCCACGCTAGGCTGCCTGGGTTTGAGTCCCAGCTCCAATTTCCAGGCACACAAATCCTGGGAGGGAGCCAGGGAATGGCTTCATTAGATGCGTTCCTAACACTCACATGGGACACCTGGATTGAGGTTTGTGTTTCTGACTCCAGCCACAGGGAACAGCCCTGAACATCGTGGGCATTTAGACAAAAACAGTGGATGGGAGCTCTCTCCTCTCTATCTCTTAAATAAATTTTTTGAAAATTGATCTCGATCATTTTTTACACAAACGTAATATACTTTTTAAGTTGCCATTTAGGAACATCCATCACAAAAATATACTTTAGGTCAACAGTTCACAGCTAGGGACAATTTTGCCTTCCATGGCCACTGGCAACGTCTACAGATATTTCTGGTAGTTACATGTGTGCTGGGCTATGTTTTTGGCCTGAGCTCTAGGCAGAGGCAAGGGATGCTGCGCAACATCCCACAGTGCACAAGACAGCACATCACAATTATACTATCCCTGTAAGGACTTATTCCAATATCCCACCCTGGACCCTGCGCCATTTCTTCTTCCTCACTGCTCACGGAATTCGCGCCAGTCCAGCCATCCACCAATCAGATGTAACCTGGCATTCCACCTGAGAATCCCACCCCCAATCTCCCAGCCCCTTCCCCGCCCACTCGCCAATCATCCCCAGGCATTCACCTGCAGGCACCAATCCCCTGGGGCCTTGACCTCAATCCCTCCCAATCCCCGCCCCCCCACACCTGGCAGACAAAAAAGGCCCCCAGGTGCGGTTCGCCCCTTTTTGCTCTCTCTCTTCCTCTCCTTGGTTCTTCTCCCCTGCTCTTCCTCCCTTCCCTCCCCTTCCCCTGTTCCTGCCCCACTCGGTTCTCTCTCTCTCTCTTGCTCTCTCTCTTGCTCTTGCTCTTGCTCTCTCCTTGGTTCCTCTCCCCTGCTCTCCCTCTCCTCCTTCTTACCTCCCTTCCCCGTCCTTCCCCTTCCCCTATTCCTGCCTCGCTGGAATAAACTTCCTAAGATATGTCGTTGCGTCTGGTGTTTTCAGCTCACGGTAAAGAACCAGGTTGCGAGAATTAGCTGCGCGTAAAGTATCTTAATATCCTGTTACCTAAAACTAGAACTCTTACATTCTTTTAAATAACTAACAATCCCAAATGCCAGCAGTGAGTGCTGTGGTTTAGAAATTTCTGGGCTTGGGACCTGGTACAAAGGCTCATCAGCTAATTCTCCCCCTTCAAACACAGAGATATCATATGGTTGCTGGTTCATGTCACAGCTGCTCCCTTCCCATCCAGCTCCCAGCTTGTGGCCTGGGGAAGAAAAGGAGGATGGCCCAACACCTTGGGAACCTGCACCCACACAGGAGACCCGGAGGAGGTTCCACACCGGGATCCCATATGGGTGCTGGTTCTAATCCCGGCAGCCCCGCTTCCCATCCAGCTCCCTGCTTGTGGCCTGGGAAAGGAGTTGAGGACAGCCCAAAGCTTTGAGACCCTGCACCCATGTGGGAGACCCGGAAGAGGCTCCTGGCTTCGGATTGGCTCAGCTCCAGCCATTGCGACCACTGGGGAGTGAATCATCAGATGGAAGATCTTCCTCTCTGTCTCTCCTCTTTGTATATCCGCCTTTCCAATAAAAATAAAAATAAATCTTTAAAAAAAAAAAACAGGGAGGGGAGGAGGAAGGGAAGGAAAGCACAAGCAACTCAATCTCAGCTTCCCACATGGGTGGCAGTGTTGTACCCAGATTTTGAGATCCCCAGAAATCACCAGGAGTCTGAAGTCTATTCCAAGTGCATAAGGATGGTTTATTCAAGCACAGCACATCCGAGCCTGGGTTCTTGGTTGAGAGCAGGAAGCTGGCTGACCAAGACCCCTTACTGGAGTGCATATTCATAGTTTTTATAGGGGCAGTCCACAATAGTTTGAAAAGCAGCAATTCACAATAGCCTGCAAGGTGAAGGGAAATAGCACACATTCCCTCCCTTATCTAGACTGGACAGCCCATGCCTCCAGCAACTAAGGTAAGCACCCACTTAATTACTTGGAGCCACCTGTGAGATAACTGGACTTAGGTGGGTCTTGATTCATAAGAATTGGGACCCATCAGCACCAGTTTGTGTATCAGATGCTCCACCTCCCAGCTAGCTCCCTGCCTGTGGCCTGGGAAAGCAGCCCAAAGCCTAAAGATTTGGGACCTTGCACCCACATGGGAGACCAGAAAGGCACTCCAGGCTTCAGATCAGCTCAACTGCAGCCACTGCAGCTGCTTGGGGAATGAACCAGCAGATAGAAGACCTTTCTCTCTGTCTTTCCTTCTCTCTGTAAATCTGACTTTCCAATAAAATAAATAAATAAATAAATTTATTTTAAAAAGAAAGAAAAAAGATTGGAATCCATCAGTGCTAAAGGTCACATAGGCTGCTAAAGGTCACATAGGCCATTTGGCCTGCAAGCTCACACAGTTTCTTAGTAGCAATGAGCCATGAGCAAAAGGTTGGGATTTTGATACTGAGGTTCTTCAGCAGTATCTAACTTACCCCAATTATGGCCACTACTTCTCAAGGTGTGCGTCAGCGGGATGCTGGGACCTGGACTGGAACCCAGCATGATCGGGGCACCCTAACTGTGAAGTCAAATACTCGCCTGGGAACAGAGATTTGGCTTGCAATGGAAAACAACTCGGTTCCTCCTCTTTTGGGAAAAGAAACCACTTTGCAGTGTTTTTTCTTACTTTCCTAAAGTGTGGATTCAGCCAGGAAAACAGCACAGGGGCCAATCAGGAAAGTGGAGCTTACAATGGCTGGTTTAATAAAGGATGTTTAATATGGAAAACTAATTACAAAGGCATTGGAAGAGCTGAAAGAACAAGTGACACAGAACACAATTGATAAGGCCTTCCCACCAAGAAGTGGTATCAGCGAGGGAAGGGCAGCCTCACAGAAGCAAAAACTGGGGAAGAAGCCAACACCCAAAACACCAGGAGAGAGGGAAACCACAGCATCTTCCTTCCTGCCACACTGGCTGAATACACAGGACTCCCAGTGGGAAGCTCGTGAACAGCGGAAACTATGCTTACAAGGGTGAGGGGAAAAGGGTGGAAACAGACCTGCTTACTGAACAGCAAATTCATGGCTTCCATACTTTCAGCTAAGGTTACATCACAAGGGGTTTATTATCATGCCTAACAAATGGAATCAGGATAGTTGCAGGGCTAATTGGATTAGCAAATGATTCAACTACATCAAGTAACTGGACTCTTTATGTCTTTAAGCACTGCCATCTTCAGCCGACTGGCTTTTTTCTTTTATTTGCTCCTTTCACGGTTTCATGCTAATTTGGAGCAATTCCAGACAGCGTACTCTGTAGACACAAAACAATCCAGACATGGGTGTATAACTGTTTACTCCCATTTGTTTCGTGAACAGCAACAAAAAACCACTTCCCAGTGCCCCTCAAAATAATTCCTCTTGCAGCCCCTTTATCTTGAGTCATATGCTCATGCTTAGACTCCTGGCAAGAATAAATCCTTCAGACTTGCTTGTGCCAACCAGAGTTTTTCCTCTTGAGCTAGCAGTGACTGTGACCTCCAGAAGCGGACAGTTGGGACAAAGAAGATAGCACAACAGAAATCTTGAACTGTTAGAGTGAAGGATGGGATTTATGACTGTTGATAGGAAAATGGTGTCTCATATAGATTCTCTTTCACATTCCTAGTCATTTGATCTCCCTTCTACTCATCCTGACTCATTCATTCTGCCAATATACATGTGTTAAAGCAAAGTAGAGAAAGCAAAAAAGTCAGCATTAATCCAACAGAAGTGAAATTAATACTTACTTTAAAAACAGAAATATATAAGATTTTTCAAACATCTTATGTAATAAAAACTATATGCCTTCACTAGTTATTCAAAAGTAATATTGAAAAAAAAATTCTCAACTGGAACCACATTGGTGCTGATCACTTGGGACGAAGTATTGACCAAACAGAATGGACAAGGCTAAAATTGACTAGTAGCACTGTACTAGTGCAGCTCAGCTCTACATGAACACTGCACACAATACCGATTTAAAAACATGTACCGAAGGGTAAACAGTGAAACATGAACTTTCCTCCCACTCTATCATCTGGCTTTTAAATTCACTTCTTTAATGGTAACAACTTCCACCAGCAAAACAAGCTTTTGAAGATTTATAAGGCAAAGACAGAAATTTTCTAAAAATTATTTTTAGCTTCTTGTCACATCAATTACTTGTGGCTTAATGGATTTCACTGAAAAATTTTTGAATATGGGGATACCTGACGAGCACTGAGTGGGAAGAGGAAAGTCTACTTCCTTTTAGTCCAAGGAATTGTGGAAGACAAAGAGATTAAGGGCTTTGTCTCAGAAGGGAAAAAAGGTGTTAGGTTGAAGGCTGTGTGGAGGGCAGAGAGCAAGAAATCTAGGGCCTTATAGGCTATTCAGAACCTGGGCCCGGCACAGTGGCCTAGCGGCTTAAGTCCTCACCTTGAACGCGCTGGGATCCCATAAGGGTGCCAGTTCTAATCCTGGCAGCTCCACTTCCCATCCAGCTCCCTGCTTGTGGCGTGAGAAAGCAGTCCAATACGGCCTAAAGCCTTGGGATCCTATACCCGTGTGGCTCCTGGCTTCGGATTGGCACAGCACTGGCTGGCGCGCTCACTTGAGGAGTGAATCATCAGACGGAAGATCTTCCTCTCTGTCTCTCCTCCTCTCTGTATATCTGACTTTGTAAGGAAAAATAAATAATAATAAAATCTTAAAAAAAAAAAGATATGCATAACCCACCCAAGGGTCAGAACTGCATGCAGATGACATAAGATATTTACATAGAATTAAGTTTCT